ATTTGATGAAAGACTTATCGAGTTAATAGCAGTGAATGTTGAACAGACAACCATGCCTAACCTTCCCAAAACAAAACAAATTCCAACTTGTTGAAACCGAAAGCTTATTATGTACACTGTATGTACTATTATTGCCAAATCTATTGCCAAATTACGCAACTCGTTGCCACCTATACAAAATGGAGCTAGAAATGTAAACAATATTCAACTCTATAAGGTTTGGTTCGGACTGTGTGGTGCTATTCAGAATCCTGCAGGTGTCTAATAGTTTTATTCTTGCCGCAATATTGCGCAACTTACCAGAACGTTTTCTTTTCCATTCACTTTCATGCATGAACAAATACAAGTTTTAATTGAAAAAAGTGCGAAGCAATCAACTACATGTAGTTACGACCAGAAGGTCAGTATCCCGCCGCCCTAATTCCCGTGCTTGGGACACTGACTTCATCAGGTGTACGTGTGTTTTGGAGGGTGGGTGGGGGTGGGGTAGGGGGTATTTCTGTCTTGAAAAGGTCCAAACAAACAAGTTACTTTCGGTTTATTTGAAAAACCCGTTCCGGACGACGTAGAAGTCTTTCCCAAAAGCTGGCATACAAATAGTGTCAGTCTCCTTCACGGTCAACTGACTTTGTTGACAGGTTAAAGTGATCTCCAAATTGGTTGTTCCCAGTTTTCATTTAATTTAATAACCAGGAATTATCGAAATCCCGAGTTCTTTTGAAGGCTGGGCGGAAAGCGCTCCCGCGTATTAGTAACGGTGGTGGGCCCGCCAATGGAACGGTTAATAAAGAGAAAACATCGCACGTACTTGGGCCCCGATGCATCAAAAGGACAACGCCGTGCTATTGTGACGGCCGGCCTTTCAGTAGCGGTAATTCGGGGGATCAGTCACCGGGCTCAAGGTGTTTTACTCAGGCCTTTATCTCCAACACCTGAGCCGCTAAACACACACCCGGAGTTAACTTCCTACACAACACAAGGGAACGTGCGAAAAGTAAATAGGCGGTCCAATTATAATTACTGAACGGCACTCATTCGTCACCCGGGTGTCAGTTTGAAGAATTGCATTAACCTGCGCCCGGTTCCGTTGAGTTTCTCGCTCCTTCTCTTATTTTCAGAGCCAAAGTAATTGTTTCCCATTATTCGGGTGGATTTTCCCGCAGCAGGCTCACGTGCACGCGATATGGTTTTGACAAACAAGGATGGCGTTGACACGGCGCATTGGATGCGTAATCAGTCAGGATGAGTATCAACTGTAACTACTTAAGTCAAGCTGACATAAGTTTTAACTTTTGACGAGAAAGTTCATGTGCGTTCACCAAAGTTCTCATTTCTTGTTACCTCTGTCCACTCCTACTGACCCCCTGCGGTCGGCCAATAGCCCCACGGTTAAATGCACTGGATTAGTTCATCATAATGAGCGTGATATAACCCTGCCCCCGGTAAACCCCATGTCAAGATTACTATTATCATGTTATGTATGACTTCACGTTGAATGTTGCAGTCTATTCCGTCATCTTCTGAATGATATTTTAAATCGTTTTATTTCGGCAGGTCGTCAACGTGCGACATAAAATGCGAGTGTCGATTCTGAAATATTCCCAATTTGATTGTCGTCAGTAACTGAAAGAAAATATTATTAATATGTGATTTCTCAGCTGTTTCAAAGAAAATTAAGCTCTGTCTACTTGCCAAGCTTTTAAAGTGTGCATTGCCTCAGAATTTAGTGGGGGGGGGGGGGTTTGCCCGCCATCGGTCCGTTCATACAACGAGAGGAGCAACGATGAGGTGCATACATGACGACGCCAAAGAGACAGAAAAAGATTGAAGACATGGTCTGAAATTTGGACAGTACAGAAAACGGATTGCAGACACGTTAATTTACATATTCACGCGTTTAGTTTTTTGTTCTTCAAAATAGCAGTCACGTCTGTGATCATAAATAGACGCGCTTAAACAATATTCAGTGTCCACTGACTGAAGTCAGATACGGGAAAAATAGTCCAATTGGCACCCGGCTGGCCATATTCTCCATGTGAATTGTCAGATGGTATCTAGCCTCTATCCCAGCCCCACCCGTCCTCGCTTTTCATTGTTTTATGGTAACGCCTCCATCTTTTTAGATCTTCTTGATTGTTCAGTGGTTCATTCAAAATGTGGACCGCATAATTTTTGTCCAGAGGAGGTACAAGATGCTGTCATGATGGATGCAGTGGCTTGGATGCCCTTATCTTTTTATTATTAGCTTATGGCTTTTTTTTGCATGTTGCAATCTCAGTATTGTTCATCAAATCTTATACTCCTTTATATAAAACAAAAATACAAGTAAAAGATGTCGAGTAAAGTTTTCAAAAATCCGGCATATTTTGAAAAGAAAAAGAAATTCTCCGCAACTGCTCAGTGAACAGGCCTTACAAAATTAATTACCAGAATACATCAGCCCGGCCGCTGTTCTCAGTCAACCGGATTATGCATGTTGTCCGACGGCTCAATTTGTCTCGCGCTGCCGGAGTGTATATCGCCCGTGCCCAAAGTGCCATCCATCATGTTTTCTAGAGACGAGTTGTGTTATAGGTGCGGGGACTCTGTGTTTACCGATTGCCACCTAATTGACTGTTGGACGCAATAGTGAAATCTCACACTTTCACTTCAGATGGAGAAAGGGGCAAGATTAAAGGCAGGGAGAGTTCAGAAAGGAAACATCGGTGTTTTTGATGGAGGCTTACCCTGATTACCTGTTAATTGATAACCTTAAGATTTCAATGCATAAGGCACTCACAGAAAACAGCCTCCGATGCCTCAGTTAGCGAGACCGCATCCATAAGAAGGCCTATAGGCTTTATTCACGTGTCCGCCATATTAAATTGAAAGCGAGGTTAACATTTTCATTTTTGGAACTTGCGAATAGAAATTAAAGCAAAGTTAACTACAAATTAATACCAGTCTGCTCTGATGAATAATTAAATAGTTGTGATTCAGCATACCCTAATGTTTAAAGCCACATTACAAAAATTGAAAGTGAGGCTTGGAACGCATTAATAGTCTGGCACCATCCATTCAACAGTTCACAATTTATAAAACACATTCAGGAAACACGATCAAAAATGGCTGAATAAGGTCTATTCACCATGGGCCAGTAGCAATACCCCCCAAAAAATATATAAAAGGCAACAATTTTTCCCTGTTTCATATATTCACATCTCGATCAACCCCGAACCGAAATTATGTTTGCGTACTTATTTCATATAACGTGAATGTTATTTCATAAAATATGAATGTAAAAAAAAAAGAATATCATGAACGCTCAATGCATCGAATTCCCCCAAAATACAAATCTCCGGCGCCCTTCATTTTGTATAGGGCCTACATGAAAACCCGAGTGTAGCGGTATTTTTTTTTGTATAAATTTGCCAAATAAACGGGAATCGCGACTGCAGCATCTAGTAAGAAACACAGTCAAGGAAGACTGAGGAAAAACCACTACCGTCATTTTCCTCAGCGGTAAAAATACGAGCCATTACTGTAACTGAAGGACACGTGAGCGCCTTGCATGGTACGCGAACGGGAGACGGTCTGCGCCCCAGAATTATATTTTGTTGCGGAATCACTATTATGTGTAGGACCACATATCCGCATCCTATAGTTTTGACTTAAGATGTCCATTCCTGACATTTTGTCCGATGAATTAACACAAAATGGTGAAAGTTTTCTGCAACAGCTGCGCCGCGGACTCCCGTGCGCAGATGGTGATGCGCATAATTATACGGGCCACGTCGTATGCAGCTCAGGAAAACTTACTGAGCATTTCAACATTCTGTGTGGTTGACCCACATATCTTCATCTCAACATGTTGATGTAAGATGCCTATGGCGCCCAAAACGTGCTCGATAAAATAGCCACGTCAATTGGTAATTTAACGAGCAAATTATTTTTACGAGCCGCATTGACTTCAAAATTGGGTTGCGTGCAGTCCGTGCCATACGCGCGTGCTGACCATTACGCCGCCTTTATGCGCGTTTGTTTTATGGTTTTATCAGTTACACATGTTTTGCGTATGCGTTCGACGGACGATCGAAATGGATAGGCCTACGCAACGTATATGTTTATCAGAAATGGGACGTTTGCTTTATTATGAAATGGAATTATTTGGTCCGATAAAAATTAAACTCATGCGCAACGTATGCGTAACGGATTAAAAGAACGCATATAATGGTTTTACACGCACACCATGCGTCCTTCATTGACTCTCATGCAAAGTCACACGGCGCCATCTACAGTCAATGCACATACTCCTTGCCTTCATTCTCGTTTTTGTGCAAAACATGTCAACCCTTCCATTGTATGCATCCCATTCCCATAAATACAGATACAGATTGTACAGTTGAGGTCCTTTCTCCGAGGTTGAGATGTGCATCATGTCTGCAACTGGTTTTACCACCGTGCCTGCTTCCTTTTGCCGACTCAAAATAATATTAAACACTTTGTAGACGAGAGTAGAAATAAAAACGGGAGTCTACAGTTTCGCGCTGAAAAAAAAACTTTCCTCAGAAATGAAATAGTTGCCGTTACTTACTCATGAGAAGAAAAAAGACGTCTGGTTTGGATGAAATTAATTTGAGTAATTGGTCGTGGCGGGTGAACGAAATTGAACAATTAAATAGCACCGTGTGTCGTCCAGAGTCATATTTTACGGTCATGTCATGTTACATGAACATGAAACCAAATTCTGCCACTGTGATGTTAACCACGACACGCCGAGGATCAAGTTGAAACCCAGCAAAAGTAAGCAAGCAACACTGGCCTGCTTGGCTAGTTGTTGTCGTGTTGATTATACAACACACTGGCTTGTTGACTTGTTTATTGTCCACAAGGCGTGTGGTTATAATAAGATCACGACACTTGGTCCACAAGTCTACACAGCCGCGTGGATCCGCCCACCGTCCTGCTTGATTGACAGCCGCGTCTGTCTGCGTACGCTCAGTCTAACACCACAGGGAGCCAGTGGCTTTATCAACAAGCGCGCCCGCCTACATTGGTGGGCCCAGTGATGCCATCTCATCAAGCTCAATGCGCGGATTGGTACAGTATCTTTTGCCTCATTTGGCAGGCTGGGAGTTTGAGCAGTGCCCCGCTGACGAAGCTTGCCCGGCCGACTGGTTGGTTAAGTACCCGATCACCTACAGCCTTTCTCCAAATTGAAAAAAAGCAACGATGCGTTTGTGAGAGTTCTTGCGGCGGTCAAATGCCTACGTACAAACCCTCAGTCTTATTCCGTATGATGCCGGGGCAGACTTGCATTTGAGGGAAAAATCTGCAACGCAGTGCACTTTGCTTACTCAACTCCACCGAGCAAAGTCAGTTTCTTGAATTGAGCTCAAACTCTCATTTTAAAAGAGTGCTGTTGCTAAAACTGGAAGTCAGCAAAATTTTGCTGTACGCTGCATCGCACAGTTGACTCAGTATTAGTGGATTTTTGCCTCCGTTGTTTGCTCAAGGAGTTTGAAGTCGCCATGCCTCGACCAGCGAGGAGCACGTACAGCGACGCCAAGCCGCCGTACTCGTACATTTCCCTCACGGCTATGGCGATACAGAACTCAGGCGAGAAGATGCTACCGCTGAGCGATATCTACAAGTTCATCATGGATCGGTTCCCGTACTATCGCAAGAACACCCAGCGATGGCAGAACTCTCTCCGGCACAATCTGTCCTTCAATGACTGCTTCATCAAGATCCCTCGCCGGCCCGACCGCCCGGGGAAAGGCAGCTACTGGGCCCTGCACCCCCTCAGCGCTGATATGTTCGAGAACGGCAGTTTCTTGCGACGCCGTAAGAGATTCAAATCTCCTAGGATCACCGCCATTGACCACAACCTTCAGATCAAGCAGATCGACTCGGCTAAGATCTTCCAAGAGCAAGCCAAGATAGGACTTCCACCATTCGCTGCGTTGGGCTCGCTATCGCCGTACGCAGTTCCTGTACCGAGTATGGCTATGACATGTTGCACGGCTAGCTCGCCCACCTACCCGTCCAAACACGGTTTCATCCCCTCCACCAGTCCCACCATGAAGCAGGCTTTCACCATCGAGAATATCATCTCGCCGGATTTCAAACCCTCTGCAGCCAAATCGGGACCACAGACAATCAAAGTTGCAAAGGCTGTCCAGTCGGCGTTGTCCGCCACGACGACGAGTTGCTCGAACCTACCGAGTCCGACCTTCACTGGCAAGGGGGCCTGGACCTCGATCGCCCCGGCAGTTGGCCGCTGTGCTGCGCCCCTATCGCCGGAGGAGCGTGCTTACCTGAGCGAGTACACGGCCCATTGCAGGACGATCCTACCGCCCTCATTCCCACCGACTCCAGCGTTTCCCCTGCCGATCAAGCCCACCGTGCACGGGTTAGGCGTCACCTCACACACCGGTGCTATGCTCCCCTCGCTATCCACCTCTGGTCCCATCGTGCATGACGGTGCGCTCGTATCCAAGTGCAATAGGCCAACGCTCGTATAGTTGTACTCCCTCATTCCATCCCAGAACCCTGTCAATACCTACAACATTCAAATTATAACTGTAGCTCAAGCTGTTGCATGGGGGACTGCTATGAGTTTGTTTCGTGGGACCAATACATCTAACGGAGCACCTTAGGTACAGGTGTGTACACAAACCCTATCTTTTATTTTAAAAACACACACCAATTTCAACAGTAATAACATCAACGTGCTTTTATTGTTTGCCATGTTTAAACCATTTGCAACGCAAAGACGATCATGCTAGTCATATTTTCCCTGAAATAACAAAAATCTCTGTGTATTCATCGCATGATTGCAATCGGAGACATTTGGAGTCATACCGTACATTTGGTTCACAGCTAAAATGAATCTTGAGTTGACAGGTAAGGATCTTTAATCTGCACATGCGCCACATTAACTAGTGATTAAGTATTTACATTCTAAGTTCAAAAATGTATAATTAACTACCGCAATGCAATAGCAATGGCAGAAATGGTATCCAAGATAAAAAAAAAACCACCTAATAACTAAATATATATGCGATTTCCAAACAAATCTTGACATGGTAACTTGAGAGGTTCTTGTACACGTTTGTACATCGTATACCTGAAAGCATATCTGTCCTAAAAATCTAAACTTTCTACCAGAAGTTCTTGTCTATAAAATGCTACACTCTAAAACTGTGTTTAGCAATTAAACACAATCTTGATATCACTTTGTAAACATGTTTAGAAGCTAAACATTATTGTGTTCAATTCCTAAACATCAATGTGCAATTCCTAAACATCAATGTTCAATTGCTTAACACTATACATCCTTACTCCATCACGTTCAGTATTTAAACATGTTTACAAACTGATAGCAAGAAAGTGTTTAGAAAAGTGTTTAATTGCTAAACACAGTTTTTGTAGTGTAACCTACTTTATACATCAGATTTTGGAGAGCCTATGATATCTCATTTGATCCATTTCATTAAGAGATTAACTTTCGCTGTCATATTTTTAAATATACATCAAGCTGATATGTATTATGTAAGAACATTTGCCCGATTGGTTTCTTCGAAGTTGTTAACTTGATTCCTTGAGTTTGCATAGGGAGTGGAATCATCACTGTCATCAAACAGTGTAGGCCTCAGAGTTGTAAAAGATGATCTTCCCATAAAGGGGTCAAATGGACATTTTCTCCCTGCAGAGGTTCCCCTCAAATGTATAGCAGTACTGAATCCTTCTCCAAATACCGAAGTGCATATTTAGATGCTGAAATAGTTAATTGTGCAACATCAAAGTATGCTCATTGATTGAATCTTCTCCTGTATATTTGACAAAGAATTGTAAATAATATTAACTTCAAACTGTTGTACATAAAATACTCCTGTACTGTATAGTTATGTGACAGAAATAATACTGTTTATTTCCAAATTTCCTTTGAAGTTTATTTTTGGTTGATTTTCCCACCGCAATCATCTCCATTGGGGTAGTCACGTGACAGTTAGTTGAGGTAAAACACAAATAGTACACGTTGAAGACAACAAACTGACCAATGGGTGATCGTTTAGCATAGATTAATTTTGATTTTCAGAAACAGTTATTACGTGTTATGCGATTGGTTAAGTGGAAGGGTTTAGTGTTTAAAGTTTATCTTGTATCTTTTTACTTTCAATGGTTCAACAGCCTTAAACTTCTACTCCCGGCATTAAAGTTTTGAAATACATGTTAGAGTAGGCCCTAAACTTTTAAAAGATCTTTTTTTTTCTGCCTGCAGTTTTATTGATGATTTTCCTCGAATCCGTTCATAAAGGCAACTGTGGGTATTTTCAGAGAATTGTCACATACTCACCAATTTCAAGTGGGGACAGAATTGTACTCAAAGACGAGAAACATGTCAAAGAATATTTGGAATACAATAATTATAAGTTTCGTCTGAAACTAAACAAACTTGGTATTAAAAAGTAGAATAAAACCCGCAACCTTTAGAAAAGGTTTTTGAGGACATGCATTTCATTAACTGATGACATCTATGTCTAAAATCGCCCATGATTGTGTGTTCTAACCCACGTTACTCTGGTTAGGTACATGAACGTGCGATGCAGCAAATTCATGCTAAGATCGACATTACCGGCACCCGATTATATGATGGCAAGAATGTGTGATATTTCAATTTACATTGGGCCATGTCATTGTAGGAAAAAAGGTGAAAAGGTTCTGTATACAGAGATACCAAAGAGGTTTAGGGTGTGCATTTCATGGGGCTTACACAACAAGAAGTTTTGATTGGGCGACTGGATCTTGAATCCACCTAAACTGAGTGACATTGAAATGACAAGAGTCTTCAACAAAATGTCCATTGTAGTGGCAACGACAATTTCTCATCACAAAATTGTTCCATTTCAGAAAAGGAAACTTCTCTGTTTGTTGAAGGCATCGTTGTAAATCAGTGCAAATTTTTGTCAAAGAAAGGTGTGTTTTTTTCCTATCACAAAACACTGTACGCTTACATTGGTAAACATTAATATTGTCTTTATGTAGTATTTCAATGAACAACTTTCACCATTAATCTAAGTCAGACACTGCACATCATGTGTGGATACTTTAAATGCGGTTCGAGTCGGCAATGTCTGCAAAATTGGTTTTTCGATGTTAGGGGTTGGGGTTATATTTATTTTGCCTTTTCAATTTTATGTAGTCTGGTAACTGACTTTTCTATATTAGCATTGTCCAATCTCACTATAACAGGAAGAATGGATTTGTTAGTACATTCGAGTTGCCGTTTGTTTCGTTAAAATGAAGGGTTTCGTAGAACTTTATTTGGACACACAGTTTTAAATTTGTATTTCATTTTGATTCATCGCGTACAGTTTCAAAATTACCAAATTTTACATGCATCACACTTAATTAATAATCACCTGTGAGTAGGATTATACCATGCATTGTTTAGTAGCACAATAATTGGATTCCAGTTTAGATTTGGGAAGTGTATTTTGCAAATAAGGTTCTTGAATCTCCAACTGACAAAAAGGAAATTCACTGGGAAAAAAAAACCCAATGTGTACTTTAGACATAAAACCAGTTGTCAGGTCAAATATTCATGTGTTCGTTGTGGGGGCAGGGTCCGTGTAATTTGTAATACGAAACTTACTGTACAGAGGACTTTTGGGAGCGGATTAGACAAAAATCGCCCGGAGTGCCGGAACAGAACTGAATAATTGGAAATAAAAACCACAGTGCATTTCAGATGTTGATATAAATGGAGTACGATGTGTGTGAGTTTGTTAACCGAAGCTGGAAGCCACGAAAAGTTTCTACTTTGTTTCCTTTCTTGGACATTTCCTTTCAATTTAATGACGAACGGGAATCAGGTACTATTTCAGCTTTTGAAGTGTGTCCAAAATTAATTATATTACTTTTGAGTAAGTGAAAACTGGATATGTCTGAATTTTTTTTTTAAAGACAGCATGTTGTTTTACAATGATTTATCTTCGATGGTATATTTTCATTTTCTGTTAAATATTCTGGTGTGTGTATGTAAAATAGGCCTACGTGGATACAATTTTGTTCACTTACGTGAATTCCGAATTAATGTGTGAAGAGACAAGAAAGCAATGTTGTATTGTCTGATTTAAAAAGATATATACAGTTGACGCAATCAAACTCACACCACTTATCAAACAGTGAGAAATGTCAAATTAACCCCTTTTTACTATACCTACAATTCTCTTAGTTCGGAAGTGGCTATTCAATCAAAGGGTTTTCATTTTTTTGAATTCATGAACAAAGGTAATGTAAACTTTCCTTTTGTGTCCAGTCGCCAAGTCGAGCACAGCCTATAGAAAGCCACCGTTCTTTTTTCGGAGTGGATCACTCATTATTACCACATGTGTTCCTAAATAGCGAGTGCACTCTCAATAAGGAAATGTACTTTAGATTTGATTGAGAAATGATCGAAGTTGGCCATGCATTTAGTGTCAGTTCGTTACAATCGGATATCAGTGCAATCAACCACATTTCTATAGGAGCTGGGGTTGTTGACTGGAAAATCTGTTCGGTGAACGGAAATTTATTCGAAAACTCACCCCCCCCCCCGTACTATACTGCAAACTAGCCAGTAAGTTCACTATTGTGTTGAGAGTATATGCCCCACCAATGACATATCCTGTGCCAAATAACGTGTATAGTGACACACATATCATGTCGAGTTGGCAACGGTCAATATTGCAAACAAAAACATATCTGACCCACCAACTATAACTGCGTAAAATGAAGGTTAATTCCCAATGACACATAGTCCACATTTTGCTCTCTCTCTCTTTTTTAGATTTGTTCAACATCGGATTTATTTCAATCTAAAAGACTATAACATTCGTAACTACGTGCCAACAACCGTCAAGTTGCTAAATTTGTCTTCTTTTTATGTGTTAAATATAACAATAAAAAAAAAATGAAATCGTGCTATGTGCACGATTATCGTTAAGCCAGAACTGCAGCCCGGGTTTGATCGTGTCTGTATCTGGTCATGTGCACTTGTCTTGAAGAAATAAGAGATTCCCTTGCTATTCAGATATTAATGTTGTCATTCACTAAACATTTACAAGTGGAGGTTGTCAATCAAACATAACCAAGAACGAGACTTTAAGCTTTTCGAATGGCAATGTTTAAAATTATGACTGTTGCCATTAATATTGTCCACGCACTGAATGTCTTAATAACTGTATCCACGACGGAATACCCTTCTTCAAATTCAGACAATTGTTTTCAACTTCTGGCAATAACGTTGGTCAAAATACCAACAGCTGGCTGCACTTTTAGGGAAATTTCCTCCTCAAATTTTGCTCGAATTAAAACAAAAACTGAGGTAATTTCCTACCATCTGTCAAATTTAATAATTTGCTAAACTTCGTTTCACAACCCTTTTTGCACCATTTGTTGTTGTTGTAAATGAGATAGACAATAATTGTTGAAAGTAACCAAAAATGGGGGAAGGTGATGAAGAGGCGGATTGAGCCGCCGCGCCGTAGTGCGTCTTCCGATGAAATATTATCAAGCCTTGTTGGCCTACCAAGCCTATTTTTCCACGTCTCTGACATGATTGAGATTTGCATAGCAAAACCGTCTACTTTATTGTAACTTGAACCTGGAAGTCGCAGCGTAAAGTTACTAAGATTATTGCTAACAATCTGAAATTCTGTGAACCGTTTCATGCCGTGTGGCAAAAGAACTGCGTAGCTTTCATCGGAGGACATATTACCCCGAGTCCCCAATCGGAGTGATAAACCACAGCGTCTGTGCGTCATCCCATTGTTCATGTCATTATTTACTGACAACTTTTCCGCCGTCTAAAAGTCAATTTCCCCGCACGATTTTAATTTAATTTATTGACTCAAATGTCATCTTGCCTCAATAAACCCGGAGCCCCTGGAGCGTTCAGCGGGCAGATGACATCCAGCAAACCACCAGCAGCGGTTCGGAGATTCAGGCAGCCGGGGTAATATCTGGACAAACCAACCGTTACCGGAGACGATATCGGATTTGCTCCGGTGTGAGGTTTACCGTGGCCTTGCGAGCGCTCAAGCGGGTCGTATTAGTCCTGTTCCCGGCCGGCTCACGGCCACACCAATGCCAAACAACTACCAAACAAATCCCAGTCTGTTTTTTTTTTGGAAGTATAAGAAATCAGAGAATCCACGATCATCCACTAATGAAGCTGTTGAGCAGATGGCTCGCTGTCTGCGAGGTTCAGGTGACCGTTCACTGTTCTTGGGTGAAATCATAAAAAGCAATATTAGTGTAGGACACGCCACTTGACTTTTCAACGATGCGTTTCATTGTTGGCCTATAGGCGGGGCTACACCCGGCCCAATGTTGGCATACCATGCGCGTCTGCAATGGTAGTCCAAGGAGCGGCGGTTCTCACGAGTGAGTGCATGGGGAACTTTTGAAAGTAGTTTGATCTTAAAAGAAAAACTCCCATCTTTATATAAATGACGCGTCGGGAGATATAAATCACATCAATGGATGAAAAGGGATGGCTCTTTTGAAGCGAGGACAGTGACTCTGGGGAACACATTATGCATAATTGAAAGTAGTAATGGGCCATGACTTACTGTATTAACACAGGGGTACTCTCTTGTAATGGCAACGATTTTCAGAAGGGTCAGAGGACAGTATCATTATTACTCTTGCGAATTGATTGATGGAGGTAATTACATGTTTAAGATTGTATTGCTTTCAAATTAAAAATAAAAACAGAATTTACTAAATTTGACAAGGCACGGTCACTTATTTTTTAAATAATGCAGGCCTAGATAAGATAGACAGGCACCAATCAATTATCGCACAAGAGGTAAATTAATGTTGCAGATAGACTAGTAAGGAAAAATCAAACATGAGAAATAGTAATCATTCCGCCCCTTCCTGCCAAGCTTGCTGTTTGTTTTGGTGCTGTAAGAAGGCAACTTAAATGTATTATGGTATCTAGAACATACACTGTCAACGGTGACGTATGTAACCTCAGATATGAATATGAAATAAACAGCACACATTCACAGAAGGCAATACGACAAACAGACTCACAACTTGCCTTTTGTTTTTTCAGATGAAAGATTCAAGATATACGGACATTCAGACCCCGACATGCATTGCAAGCCTTCCATTGGCCAGTTTAATTCCCCACGCCAGACACACTCTTCCCAGCCACAGACAAATGACCAACATGTTGCAGT